CCCGTAGTTGAAAATTTTCTCTTGACCCGACTGACTGCCCCTGGGTCTCCGAAGATGCCAAATAACATGCAGTCATCAGATATGCTAACCTTCTACAGTATAAGAACTTTTTTTACTGAAGGCTTGTGCTGGGAAGTAAAGGACAATAGACAGTTTTATTAAAATCTCATATACGCAATTTTCTCTCACTTTAAGGTGCTGTTAAACTTATAGCTACAGAACTGAAAATAAAACGCTCTAAACGTGATCTAAACTACCTCATGACAAAAACTAATCACGATCCCAGGATCACTAATTCTCACTAATTTTTGTTTGAGTTTCATAGCAGTTTATGCCCAGGTTAAGAAAACTACACCTCCATTTATTTCAAATGAAGTATTAAAAGAATTATGAACTGTTTTCTCCTTATGCTTTCTTGTGCGCTATTTTGGCCAGAAAGGCCTTACAGATGCAGAGACTGCTTAACAAAAAAATATACCCACCAATCCCAGAGGCTTTTATATTCCTCATCTTAGGTCATGTGGCTTAATGAGAGACACATTGATCTCCATGCAATGGTCTTGAAACTGCTCTGCTCTAATTGCCAGGGTGCGTTGTTGAGAACCATCAGACGATAATTTTGAGGTACAACCAAAGTACAGAAGAATACAAAAATAGGTGGTATTGTTCAATCATTTAACTGCATAAAAGTTGACATTTAGCGTTATTTGAAGTTTGACATAGGCGTTTGAAATAAGAGAGTGCTCAAATTCTCAACAGCCCTGTCCCCTGTAACACAATTCCAGCTTCGCTCAAAGGTCATGTTTGACTCTTGTAAGTTAAATGTTGGGTTTCTTTTCTCTTACTTATAAGCCATACCACAAGTTAACTTACCTGTGTGTTTCCACATTTCCTTTTGTACATTGACAAAACCTTCTTTAATCGCTTTGACGATCTGAGCTTTGTCATCAGAATAAAACCCTTGCTGTTGATTAATTTGGGGCCATAAGTGTTTCCTGGCGAAATTGGCCGCTTCTTGGCCCCCATGGCCGTCAAAAATGCTTAAATACGAAACCTCTGGATCAGGGTTTAACAAAACCTCCATAAAATATTCTGTGTAGTAACAGAAGACGTAACAGAAGACATTAAAGTCGTCCCCCTTCCTTTTATTTCACTGTTATTTTAGAAAACAAAAGCGCTTATCTACCTGCGAATGTTATTATGCCTAACATTGAGACAGTATGGATTCAATAGATCCGCTTTTATTACACTAGGTTAACACGGATACGTAGTGGAAAACAAGCAACAAGAAGCCAGCGGTCGCGAGCCTACTGACCTTGCGCGATATTGTTTTGATTGACTTATTTAAACTTGTGAACTCTGCAATATATGGATAAAAGGACAGTGTTGGTGCTGCGATTCGCCTTTTGAAACTGTGTAAGAAAAGGAATCAGAAAAAGAGTAGACTGCAAAACAGTCAGTTTTCAAAATATTTTGCAATCCTTTTGGGTGAAGCTCACGTGCCTCTTACGTAGCACGTGTACGGGCATGTGAGGTGAGAGGTTTTTTACCGTGATGTAGTGATAGCGATCAGCAAACGAGTGATGGAAAAACAAACTTTGTCATTTTTACTAATCATTCAGACGAGATATTGGACAGATTTCAACTTGGAAAATTTTTGTTAAAAATAAATCTGTTGTGAAAAATCTGACCGTTTAAAAACGGTGAAACCTGTGTACAGACATCGCGTCCCCTCAGAAGGCGCTATGGGAGAAGGCTATGAAAACCGGTGTAAATTCTCTCCTGTGCTTCATCATTTTGGCCTTTTTTTCTGGAAAGCGAGGATGAAAGCGCATGAACACAATATACACTTGCCTTTTTAAGATAATGATAGAAGAAATCAAGCCACAGAATTGTCACGCGGATACATTTACCAGAGTGAGCAAATCACTTAGCTTTGGCAGTAATCACTATTATTCTAGAAGAGACCAATGTTTTATAATATATTTATTAATGACTTGTTTCAGCATGTGAAATATGCAAAACTAAACGCATACGCAGATTACCATCAGATTTACCCGCCTAGCCTAGACCCACTCGCACTGGAAGAGTGCATTTGCCAAGAAGTTAATGTCGCAAATCAATGGTATAAAAACAATGGCATAATTGTTAACAAGAAAAAGCACCAAGCTCTAATCCGGGGAAAAACTGAGCCCAATTTTAGTTTCCCAGTAAATAACTCAACAGATATATTGGTAAAAGTGAAGAACAGCTCACCTCCACCGACTGTTGGCCAACTGTCAGCCAACTGTCGGCCGACAGACCGCCAACTGTTGGCCGACAGTTGGCCGACAGTTGGCCGACAGTCGGCCGACAGACGGCCAACTGTCGGCCGTCTGTCGGCCGACAAGTTTTTCCACAGTGGTAACGATCTGTCGGCCGTCTGTTGGTAATCTGTCAGTAAGTTGTCGGTAGACTGTCGGTTGAAATTGTGATGACAACTTCGAGATTTGTAATGAAAGCTTTGAGTAAATAAATATTCATGCAATCATGCACGGCAACATCAAGTTAGGAGGCAGAGGAAAGACTATAGAAATTGACGAATCTATGTTTGGCAACAAACGCAAATACAATCGTGGGCGAATTTCTCGAGGCTCGTGGGTCTTCGGGATGGTTGAAAGGGGCAGTGGCAGGGCTCTCACCTTCCGTGTGCCGAACCGAACAAGAGAAACCCTGGTAACCGGACTGATACAGCAGTTCGTGGAACCTGGAACCACGATCATCTCTGACAAGTTTTCACCATACTTCAACCTGAACCACGTTGGGTATGTCCACCTCATGGTGAACCATTCAGAGAACTTTGTGGATCCATACACAGGTGCCCACACGAATACCATAGAGGGACTCTGGAGTCAGGTGAAGAGGAAACTGAAGGCGATGAATGGGACTCTACGAAGCCAGCTTCCAGGATACTTAGATGAGTTTAACTGGCGGAAACTTTACGGAGGCGACCACTTCGAAAACATATTGGCTGATATTGCTCTATTCTACCCTCTAAACTAGGTTCGCCTAGTTTAACACCAAACGGCCTCTTTTAGGAGCCACCAAATAAAATAAAGTCTTGACCAATACAGAGTGTCTTTTATTTAGCCGCACGCGCAAAATCAATTACGTCGTAAACAAGTTAATTATGAATACACAATCCAGAAAGATCACGTTTAATCCATTTCTTTCACTAATCTTGATCAAATGAAAAACTTTCATTGACATCTACCGATTCTCTGAAATATAAACGAAGAACGTTAGTGAAAGTCAACAATATGTAGACCGGCATTTAATACATAGCATAAGACGGACAAACAAAAGCAGATCGAGTCTGCAAACAAGCGGCCATCTTGGTGAACCGTAGTAACCACGCCTTAGACTTCGATACTTTTGTTTTACCGGTGATTTTGTCATAGGTTTCAGTGTAGTATTTTTTCTTTAGCCGACTGTCGGTGATCTGTCGGTGGTCTGTCGGTGACCTGTCGGTAAACTGTTGGTTATCTGTCGGCCGACAGTTGGCCGACAGTCGTAGGAGGTGAGCTGTTCTTCGCTTTTACCGATATATTGGGATGACAATAGATAATAGGCTCTCTTTTGATAACCACGTTTTAACATAACATAACATAACATAACTTTATTATTTATATAGCGCAAAATACATCAGTATATGATCTAATGCGCTTTACATTACAATGATTATAATACTACAATGAAATGGAGAAAAAATTACAGCTTTTCTAAATAGTTAATAAATGGATACTAGATAAAAATATCATATATGCGCGCAAAAAATCTATGTTAAAATATTATAAGTTATAAGCTAAAAGCTAATTTTAAATAATGAGTTTTTAACCGTGCCATAAAAGTTTTGAGACTGCCCAAAGCTCTCAACTCGTCTGGAAGGGCGTTCCACATGGTCGGCACGGCTGCAAAGAACGCCCTGTCTCCCCGTACGAAACAAACAGCAGTGCCGAAAATTCCCGAATCATGATCTGCGCTGCAAAGTGGCTTCGAAAAGACAAAGAATGTTGTTACCGGTAATGGCCTACCACTCGTTAGTACAAAAAAAATAAATGCAGGCTCCAATAATACAATAATCACGATACATGGTAGAGGAGTTGACAAGGCCTTAGTAGCAGAGTAAAAACCACGAGAAAGTCAAAATGCAACTTATACTTTATTAGTATCCACGCGTACACGTTACAAGAGCACGTGACATAGAAACAATTTGCAACAGTCTCGCTTTGTGAATAATTAGCAATCACGGTCACTCATCTGAATGTAAGAACATCCATTAACATGCAGACATTGAAAA